TCTAGTGTGTAGCCTACTTTGGGCTGCAAAATGATGTGTTAACAACAATTAAGATAGAAACCTATATAAAACATACAAAACACATGAGTCTAGTTGAGTTAGCTACTTACCTTGTTTGTTTGAAGGTTGAATGTGTGTGTGTAGCCAAGTCAGCTACTTGTTTGTCTTTGGCGGGAAAAAAGGCGGGAATTTTCACTACTGCCAGCGCTGTATACTAGCATGCCACAGATACATGTGATCACTTTGGGAATAGTTTTATTGTGATCTTTGACCATCAAAACATGGGTCAAGACACATTATTTGTTCATTTATCTGCAATATTGGCTGAGATAGAGTGAAAAGTGTGAAAATTCCGTTTTTGGTAATGGTGACACTAATTTGCATAAAAAATACATGTGGGACATCCAGACAACATTTTAACATAGCTCATCATTTTCTACATACTTTTTCCACTTAGGAAACACTGATTATAAGTATATTTCTGTTTCGGTGCAAAATACACCGTTCTTGGTACAAGACTAAAATGCTATTTTCTTGTAATGGCGGCACTAATTAGCATAATAGCATGCCACAGACACATGTGATCACTTTAAGAATAGTTGTATTGTGTTCCTTGACCCTCAAAACATGGATCTGGATACCTTATTTGTTCAGTTATCTGCAATAATGGCTGAGATATAGTGAAAGGTGTAAAAAGAGTGAAACTCATAGCTAATCGTTTTCTACACAATTTTTCCAATCTAGAAAAGCTGATTAGAAGTATAGTATTTCAGGCGGGTGCATGATACCCCCTTCTACCCACTAGACTAATGATGGCTAGTTGTTATCCTCAAATGAATTATGTGTTTTATTAAGTTCACGGACTGATTGACCAGTAAAAAAGTCAATAGTGTAACATGTTTTATAGATTTTTTTTTAATACGTTAAAGGTCAGAAGTCATGCTTTTCTGGTTATTACCCGTCCCCTTGTGTGTTATGTAGCTTTTTATGCATGTAAACGGTCTGCAGAGTCACAAACCCTCAAAGTACACCCTGTAGCGAGTAAAACTCGAACACAGTCTATGCTGCCCCAGAACGCCTCTTTGGAGATTTCTCTTTTTCCATTTTTTTCTTCTTCGGTATAGTGACGTATTTGGGTATAGTGACGTAACGTAACGGCTCCGCGGATTGGTCCGTTACGTGGAATTATGATCAGTAGAAATGGCCATGACATGGGACCTTTAATTACAAATTAGTTTTTTATTCCAGTTAGTTCCATGACAGAAATGCGCTTTAAGAGAAACAAAATAAGTTTAAAATAATCTATTTATTACAGTTTCTTTAATATAATAGTGTAATTTTACAAAAGTAAAATGTGGATAAAATAATGAGCAAATTAAAGACGTCGCTGATGAAATTAGGATTGAAGTAAATATATTTACAAATCACGTTCTAAAAAAAAATTCTAACCAAAAATACGTTTTAAGATCCAACTGAAAATCAGTAATGTTAATTTCCTATGTAATACTGGGGAAGGTTAGGGTCCAATGGAAATAAATTGGGACCGTATCCTAAAAATAAACGATCACAAACAAATCTGGAGATGTCTGTTTTAAACTTCTCCTTTGATGCTATCCAGCATAGCCTTATTAGCACATACAAAGAAAGTACACTGATATAAATGGCTCTTTGTGTGGGATTGGTGATGAAACTTCCATGTAACCTAATTTGTAGCTGTCCGTATATTTTTTACTTTTGGAAAATAATTGACCCAATACTTTTCAATTTATTTGTTTCTATTATTTTACAAAGATGTGCTATTTTTTTTTTTTTATGTCTGCAGCTCAGTACAAAAACAGTATTATAATATTGGGCTTTTTATTAACCTGGCAAAACTTTACATTCACAAAAGTAACTTGTATAACAAAAAGCGTGTTTATAAATGCAACACATCTTTTTCAGCCTTGAAGACTCATGATAAATGGATGTGTTATTTTTTATTATTAATTTCTCCATATATTTTGTGATTATATGTCGTCACCATGTAAACCTAGCTATATTTGGCAATAAAGCAGTTTAAAAAAAAAAAACTCATGTAAAGTTGCGCAACTAAACCGAACTAAACGTTACCAGTTTCACTTGGAAAAGGAGAAGGAAAAGCAATAATTAAGAAGAAGGGTATGGAAATATGGCAGAAAAGGTGGGAGGAAGATCAGAAAGGGAGGGAGATACCACAAGTTACAGAAATCAGTCATAATAAAGATCTATACAGAAAGGAACAGACGGGACTGAGGAGATCATCATCACTAGACTCAGATTGGATCATACAGGATTAAACGGCGCAATGTTTATAATGGGAAAAAGCGAAGCTGAAGAATGCAGGGGCTGTGGAGTGAAAGAAAAATGTGGAACACATCATATTACACTGCAACATGTACAAAACAGAGAGGGGAAAACTAAGAGACAGGGTCAGAGAGGCAGGAAGGGAGTGGAGCCTGATGGGGATAACAGAAGGTGAGGGGATAAGAGCTACCAGGAAGGCCATTTTTAAGTATTTGAGTGAAACAGGATTGATTGGAAGAATTTAAAACAACGTAAATACAGTGGTATAACTCCACAAGTGTTGATATGATGATATGGTGATACACACTCTTGTACAGTAGGTGGCGGTATGCACCTTAAAGTAGTTTGCAATCCGCCACAAACTGAGAGAAGAAGAGGAAGAAGAAGAAGAAGAACTCACCGCGGTTGCTGCTCTCAGTTCTGAGTGGTAAAAATGGCGTCGAGGGCACCGGGTAAATCAACAGCACTTTTTACATTATCATTTGCGATTTCAACTTAAGCTACATTGTGTGTTGTAGTGTCATTGCGTAATGTATATAGTATTGTAACAGATAATATCATGTCGTGCTTATTTTTGTCTGACTGTATTCGCCTTTGACGCGTTTGACTTGTGTGTGTCCTCTAGTGTCCCCGTGCTAACTGAGGCTAAGTGTTATCTGAAGTTAGCATAGCGCTAGCTGCTAATGCTGATCACATTGACACATTCATTTACCTACTAGACACTCTCTCTGCTGTCCTTGTACTGATTAGACCTTTACTAATGTCTTAACCAGCAGCTGTTATCACGTTGTTAGTTTTTTTGCTGTACCATCTATAGGCGTAGTGCGGGTCAGCTACGGTTAGCTTCTTAGCATTTCAGCCACTGTTGTGTTGCTGTCTTTTAAATGCTCTTGAAGATGTTGGTGATCACAGAAGGGCAAATTATCTTTCGTTATTGTTGGCATCCTTGACTTATTGTCTTTATCAGATAGTGTAGTGTGCACATAGTTAATACGCTGTAAGTACATTCATATTGAGTGAATGCTATGAAAGTTTATTTGTAAAGTAAAGTGCTTTACAGGGGCTTAAATTCGATAAATCTAATTTTTAAATGTAATACAAATAACAAGCAAGCAGAATAGTTACAGAATAAAAGGGCCTTTTATCTGATGCATATGAATAATGAAACAATTATAATGTTTTCGCCAATACAATACACAGTAATAGCAGACTTTAAGAAATCAGTGAATCTTGTTACACAGACGGGGTTGCATAAGAGCTAAAACAAGTTAATTGACAGAAAATAATCGCCAACTATTTTTGAGAAATGGACAATTTACGTAATTCTTTATTGCAACTGTTTCAACTTCTCAATTATAGATTGCCTTTCTTTTAGGTGTAATATCATATTCATCTCAACATATTTTAGATTCTGACTCACAAAACAAGATGTTTTAATACATCGTTTTGGGTTTTAAGAATCCTGTATTGCCTGAATTTTATAGCATAAATGTTTAATCAATAATGAAATCATATAATTGGTAGTTGCATCCCTTTTTAAGCTGTTAAACTCAAATCTGATCCAAGCCTTACACCTGCCATTATGCTCTTGTTTAAATTAAGGTTTGTGAATAATAATTTCTGTCTTTTCTTGTCATGTTCACAGTAGCAACAGGCAGGCTCCTAATGGGCTTCCGCAAATGGTATTACAACATGGCCGGCTTCAACAAGCTGGGTAAGTCAATATATATTGGTCAAATAGTCAGAGTATAAACGTACTTGTTTTAAATGTACAGGGGGGAACATCATTGCCTCGGATGAGTGTAGGCCATTTTATAATCGGTTTTCCACACTTTTCCAGCTTTTTAAAGCATTGTTTTCTCCGACAGGTTTAATGCGCGATGACACGCTCCATGAGGATACGGATGTGGTGGAGGCTCTGAGGAGGATCCCAGAGAACCAGTACAACGACAGGATGTTCAGGTTGAAGAGAGCGCTGGATCTCTCCATGAAGCAGCAGATCCTCCCTAAAGAGCAGTGGACACAATTTGAAGAGGTGCAATAAACTTATACATGTGTTTTTGTTAAGGGTTGAAGTGAAGTTTAATGTAAAGACACTATATTATATGACATTGATTCGCCACAGATACGTTTTAGTTTTAAATAGTTAATGCTGATAGCTGTAGCATTTTCCTTTTAATCTTGTAATACACACTTTACCTACTAGAGACTTGCCTGCTAAATCCATTTGTTTGTTTGTTAGATACGAAAAATAAGGAATTATTTATATAATCAAGTGTAAGTAAGTATAAAAAGGATCAATAAACTATAGGGTTGGATATTATTTAATGATAATGCATTACACCTATCTAATCAAACAATTATTACTCTTCTGATAATGGTGAATCCTGATTTCATTTGTCTCATATTTTTCGTATCTTTTCCTTTTAGGATGTCCACTATCTGACACCATACCTGAAGGAGGTGGTCCAGGAGAGGAAAGAAAAGGAGGATTGGATGAAGAACTAAATGGTTCTGAAGTCCTCGTCCTCAGTCTGTGCATGATTGTCCCCTGGTGTAGTATTTAAAATGAAAACCTTACCTATATAAAACATTGCTCATTAAAGAAATTGTACATTTTAGAAGATGTGTAAGTGTCTTTTTAAAAAAAAAATATATATAATGAATAGTAGGCTGAAGTATTTGGAGGTTTGATTTATTGGTATGACAAAGGGAAACCATTACAAGCATACTTTTCTGATTGTTGCAAAGTTATGCTGTTCACATTAGCAAATCCAGTTATATACAGCATTAAAACACAAATATAGACATGATAAATACAGTTTAGAAAGAATCCTAGACAAACTTCAAGTATCTACCACAACCGTTACAGCAGCCACATCTATCTGCTCTGCACATATGTTTGGCATACAGACTATAGGAAGTGCTGAGAAGAAAACAATGATCTTCTGTTGAGATGACTTCTAGACTTGAAACCCTGTATATGGTGTTAATAAATCAAGTCTAGTATATCTGTACTCGGGTTTTCCCTTCACTCATGAATAGGAACAGTGACGAAAGTTTGCACCAGTGTCAGGAAGGCTTTGATTTAGAGCGTAAACATGGATGTTTTATGTTTCTCAACTCTGACCTAACCAAATCTAACTGATATTACCATTTTTTTAACATAAAAAAACAAAGGACAGATCAATAATTTTAATACATTTTTTTTCTTGTAAAGTACATAAAAAAACTTGTATTCCAATCGTGTTTTTTTCCTCTGAAACTTAAATACGTCCCCACCTGCACCCTAAAAGATATAAAACGCGGTAAATATAGTATAGCTTAATAATAGTTTACTAGTTACAATGAAGACGTTTCTGTGATTTTCGATCATTGTCAACAAGTTATTTCTGCAATGGTTAAAGACTCTGATCTGCTTTCCACAATGTCTAGATTAATCTCAACAATCTGAGTTCATATCCCTTTGCTGTATACTTGACCTCTCCACAGTCAAATCTATTCAGCATTTTTCTGAGCCTGTGATCTCCTGTTGTCCACTTCAGTTATGCTACTAATAAAGTCCCCAAGGACGTTGTTATAAGACTGCAGCATGGACACTCCCAACTCGTTGCTGGTTTCGTTAATATCTGGGTCGTACGCCCCCATGAGAGGGGTGCACACCTCCACACTCCCTCTCCCTGCTCCTTCCAGGATCCCCATCAGCTGGGCATTGACTTCCTGAAACAACTCGTTGTTGTACACCAGGAGGTCTGAATCCTCCAGAGGGTATGTGACATCCTCTGAGTAGCACTCTCTGGGAACTGGTACCTCGATGTATTTTAAGTTAGGAAAGCCTGCAGATAGCATGGAGAATAACCTGTACAGGGCTGCAGAGGTCAGAGGGTTTCCCAGGAGTCTGAGCTCCTCCAGCATCTGACAGCGAGCCAGAGTGTGAATGAAGTCGTCCATGTGCTCGTCCTCGATGTTGCACTCTTCTACGGCCAGGCTGGTCAATGTGGCTGAGCAGCGGCCGAGCAGTTTGTCGAAACAGGAGTAGAAAGAGCTGAAGATGTCGTGTCCGCTGATGTCCAGGCTGACCAGGAACTCGCTGTGGAGGCTGTTGGACAGATAGGTCATGTCCACACGGTTCAGGTAGCAGTTGGCCACATCCAAGCACTGCAGCGGTGTGTTGAGAGGACTGTGTAGAGAAAAGAGGGGTAAAGAGAATGAATTTGTATCAGATAAAGCCCAGTGGTACCAGACATTTCTGGGCCTCGAAGATTTTTGAATACAACTTTGATATGGAAAGCAGGCAGATAACTTGTCTGTGTGCTTTTAGACCTTAAGTGAGGTAGATCATTGCACACCAAGGGCATTCTGATCTTTTGGCAATTTAAAGCAAGATTTTAGCATTTCTATTTTAACAAGGTTACCTGCATAAGGACAAATCGTAATTCAATTTGTGCAAGGGTTAGTGCTTGCCTAACAATAGCCTGCAGGCTTTATTTGGCTTTTTTTGTTTATTTTGATTGAATCCCCCTTTACCTTTCCTTATTGAAGAAGCATCATTTTAATTATAAGGGAGGCATTTTGTCATTGTGAGGTTTACACCAGACTTTGATTGACAGTTCAGTGCTTTGTACTACTGCTTTTTTCCATTTGACTGCGGCTGCCTGTTCTCTTCCTGGCATCATGTCAGCAATTTTAAAAACAAAATACCTTCCATTGCTAAACAAGAGCCTTAAAGCTGGAACGTGTTTTGACCCGGAGAAAGGTGATTATTTTGAGCTATATTAAAGCTCCTGATGCTGTAAGGTGCATGTGAGCCTCCATCTTGTCCTCATCCAAACAAGAACACCTTGTTGTCTTTCTCCGTCTCTCCCTCTGTCCTTTTAGCCTACTCACTTAAGCAGTCTGCGTATGTGTCCAGTTAGAGTGGAGAAGCCAACATAGAGCTCGGTCAGGCTGCTCAGTTGGGCCAGCAGATTCCCGATGATGGACATGATGTCGTCCTCATCAGGGCCCAACCTCCTGACATCCAACGCCCCGGCCGGAAGGGTCAAAGACTGCAATCTGGAAAGTTCCACCTTGGACAGCAGCACTTCCAAGTGTGCAGCCTGCAGGGGAACATTGTGGACTATCTCCAGCTTTTCAATGCTGTCAGGTTCTGCCAGGCGAAGAACATAAAACAGCTGCTTGAGAGTGAGGGTGTCAGCCCGAAAACTAACAAAGCGCATCTTCAGAGGACAGTAGCGGAGGACGAGGAAGGCCTGAGCCACCAGCTCATAGCTGCGGCCCGTGACAAAGCCGTTCAGACGGACCTCAATAGAGGTTTCAAAGGCAGATTGTGGCACTTCGCTGGCTTGCATGGTCACCATGGTCTCGAAGCACACTTGTGTCAGGAGCTTGGTTCTTCCCCATCGACCCAGGGTGGACCGGCAGGGGCAGGTGTGGTGCTCCACATCCCTCAGGCCTGTCAGGTCCACCACACGCAGGTTCTTGGCGTAGGTTCTTGGAGGAGACAGCACATAATCCTATAGAAAACAAAGGGGAACTTGTGTAAATTATTTGAAAGTGTCAACCTATAACAATTCATGATCATGAGCCAATAACAAGTTAAAGCAGATGTGTTTAAAGGAACACTTCACACACAAAATGAACATTTAAATATCACTGACACACCCTGTGTTATCTTGAATTTGTGAAGAAAACTAAGAAATGTGTTTGCATGCCTCTGTGGTGAACCTTGTTAAATATGGCTTCCATTAACTTAACTTATTTATAATTGAACAAAATATATTTAAAATCATATTTGGATACTATGCAAATTATTTAGGAATGTTTTCTTCGCTTTAAGGCAATTAGTTCACAGGGAGAAGAACTGAAAAACATGACACAGGAACATGCCCTTAAACACAAGTATAAATAGGACACGGCATATTTGACTAAAGTACCTTTAAGCCAGTTATAATGGCCTCCAGACAGAGGCGGCAGGTGCGGGAGGTGAGGTCCGTCTGACAGTCGGCTGTGGCTCCAAGCAGCCTCTGTAAATCGAGCACAGGAAGAGGCCATGTCTGCACCAAAGCACGCAGCACGTCCGCCTGCTCCAGCAGATAACAGGCCTTGAAGAGGAGCGGGTAGAGGTTGAAAGACATGCAGTTTAGGTTCTCCAGAGCACTGGGACCACTCTGCACGAAGCCCTCAGCAGCAATAAACCGCAGTGTCTTCATGGTTCCCGGTTTTTATCCCCGTTTGTTTCGTCAGAGTCGTGGTTGTTGTTGAGAGCTGCAGTCTAACAGCTCTGCAGGTCACTGTTTAGACTCTTCTGTGGCTGCTGCTTTGTTATTTCCTCTGTTGCCGAAACCCAGGCTAGCTGTTGTGAGGCAGAGGGGTCGCGTGGTGGGTAAGAGGGTTGAGGTTATTAATAGCAACAGCTGTCTCCTGTCCTTCGTCGGGAACACTGTCTATTTGCAACTTTTGCCAAAGAGATAAGTCGAAACACAACTAAATTCCAAAAGGAAAACTTGTCACTGATCACTTGTCACATGTGAGAGCAGTAATAGAACAACAACATCAGATCCATGCACCCATGATTATATGAAGCTCAGCGCAAGTTATTTCAGGAAGACTGATGGGTATATATGAATTCATTCCGCAGCTGCAGTTCTCTTCAACCTATTACATTTCACCTCAACCTCCAGCAGCCAATCATCGTGCTGCAGCCAAACTTTAAAATGGTTCTCCTCTCTCCTGCAGTCAGCTGTGATTTCAGGTGTTCATGCTGAAGCCCATCCACCTCCTTTCATCATATCCAGTGTCCAGGAGAGCTAATCCAAAGACCTCATCACACCTCTTCATCCCATCTCCTCGTCAAATCCAGATCTTCAGCATCCAAAACAAAGTAGCTTTCAGAAAACATTAAACTGACCACAGAGAGTAGCTTACCTTTAGGGTTTGTTTGCATTAGATAACTGATAGCCTGATTCCACCACACACTAAAAAACATGTAAATTAAGTGATTCATCAAGAACATGCCGAGTTGCAATTAACCTCTAAAACATTTCATGTCGATAGCATACTTACTCTTCACCTGTCTGATATGGGTTTAAAATGCTTCTACGAAGGGTGGTAGTGATGGTGATGATGATGATGGTGCTCGTGATGGTGCTCATGTCTCTTGGTTTGAGAAGCAGGGGCTCCACAGGAGGGCTGACTGTCTGAAGGTATTTCAGGCGGGGGTCTGGAGGCAGCCTCGTGTCCCCTGGTGCGCAGCCTCCTGCTGTGACTGCGCTGCAGGGCGCTGTGTGCTGCAGGCTGAGAGGGATGGCACCAGGAAGCAGGGTGCTGGCCATGTAACCTGCATGACTTTCTATCACCTCCATGCCTGTCCTTTCCCATGGCCTTGCTTTTCAGGGAATATGGGGTGTATTGGCCTCCAGGAGACATGCAGTTCACTGTGCTGACCACAGGGCGGTGCTTAGGAGCTGAGCAAGTATCCTGACTGGGCTCCTGGGTAGGGGATTCTGGAACAAACAGGAATAAGAACGACTTTATTCGTATGTAACACCAGAGGTTAAAATACAACAGTTCTGGAAAGGAGGGATTGTATTGTGATATGTACAAGTTAGAGCTGTACCGTCAAACTTGGACGTGTAGTTTTCAATGCCGGCTAGATCCAGGTAGTGGTTTCTGCGCTCAATGTTTTCATCCACACAATAAAGTCCTCTTACTGGGTTCCCTGCCTCCTGGGATGCTGTCTTCTCCTGTGATGCTGTTTTGAATTGAATTAAATGGAGTGTTACCTTGGATTATTCATATACATTAGATTTTCTTGCATGCTTCCACGATGAACAAACGAATCAATGAAAAAGTCTTAATGAATTGAAGTAAAGGGGGCACAGGTTTAACAACAGTAAAACTACACAGCTTAAACCTTTTAAAATATTTGTTCACGGTAGAAGAATGTGGGGAAAACATATTTCAAAAAGTCAAGGTGGTTGTGTGGAAAAGTGTTTCTTTAATATCCACAGTTTTTCTCTCCTTCTTTTCACCTATTAGTAAGATCTTCTCTGGGTCAGCTGACGGAGTTACAACAAGCTTTATCTTCAGAGGTGGGGGGCCTCCGTTTGGCTTGACTGACGTCTCTAGTACCTCATAGATGGAGCGAATCAAGCTGGACATGTCCTGCAGAAAACACACACACACACATTTTCACTGTGTACAAGGCAAGCTATTTTAAACAACTTTTATTTAAACAATATGCAAACCTACCTCTTTGGTGACCTTGCCACTGTTGTCAAAGTTGTACAGTGTGAACACCCACTCCTGCTGAGTGTCCTCATCAGACACCATGTTACACTCTGTGACCTGCATGTGCAGAAAACAAGCTTGCTACTGCTATAAAAAACATTTTACTGCAGTGTTGCATTGAGTTGGGTAGTGTGGGAGTTTACCAATAGAGACTTCTGGTAAACTGGTAAAACAACCATTTGCAATTATAAAATACCTTGTTGATTAGTATCAGATGAGTTTACAAAGAGTTCTCCCGAACACATCTCACAGTAATCAGTACACGCATTTATGTAGAATTTGCAAATGTTACAGAGATATGGAGGTTAACTCACACCAGCATGGCTGCTCTTCTTTTTTGTCTGTTTATTGACCTGGAGGTGGATGCCGTTTCCTCTATCAGCTGTCTTCTTTGGTGGTAGAACAACTGAACAACACACAGTAAGCGGGTAAACTATCATATCCCAGGAGAATCACAGTTTCATGGTACATATGTTTATTAAAATAAGTAATTTAACCATGCAGTCCCATTGCAATTTTACAAAAGCTCTTTTCCAAAAGGAGACCTGGCCAAGATGGTGGAAATGTAGTGTTTCAAACACACAAATATTGAAAAACCTACTTTAGTTTATTAAAATATGTTATTCAACCTTCATTTAACCAGGTAAAGGCCAATTGAAATCTTACAAAATGTCCTTTCCAAAAGGAGCACAGGCAAAGATAGCGGCAGTGTTTCAAACACAAATGAAAAACACACAGCATGAACTCACAGAATAATATTCCTGGAGAAACAGAAAGGAGGAAACAGATGTTGCAAAGGAAGCAATTACAAATTCCAATTGAATAAACCCCCAAAACCGCCACTTAATTTTTAAAAGCTCTCATAGGGAACGGCCTATCTGGCTAAAAATCTGTGAACACGCATTTCCAGGCTGCAGGGGCCGAGAACATAAAAGCCAATTTCAAAACAAACCGTATAGACATGTCTGCAATGAATATATTCCTTGTTGTAAGCTCTGTTTTCAATAAATGTTTGGCAGCAGAGCGGAAACTGAAAGCTGTCCATCCAAAGGTCGAAGTTTTCTCACACAAATATAAAACAGATGCATTTGATTTCAACATCTCAGATCATGCACAAAATCTACACAATATAATGAAGCCTGGAAGTAAAACAACAATGAAACAACAATGATGCAATTCTTTACTCACCTTTCAGTTTGCAGTTATGGTCAGACTTGCTCGCCCTTAATTCTACATACAAATTCTGTAAAACACAAACGTTTGAATTAGCAGAGAGCACACATGTAGGAGAGGGAAGGCAGAGAGGAAGACAATAAGGGCTTTTCAGTCCCATGAGTGTTGAGATTGAGCTCCAGATGTGAGCAATGCTGAGCCAATCCTTGAACATCTGTGGGGTCTTTCTAAAAGACTGTCACTGACTCTTCTTCAGTTCCTTTAAAGACAATTACATTTGTATCAGATGTGATGGGATTCTTTCATTATTTTCCTGCAGAAATAAAATAAACGAGACATTGAGGCATCAGAAGGAGGTTTACTTTGGACATTTCCAGCTGGAACTCCTCCTTTAACAGCCGACATCTTGACCTTTCCCCCCCCATCACATGTAACTGACGTGTCGTGATGTTTCATATGATCATTAAATGTAAAACCAAAAAGCCAGCAGAACTGTGCTTGACTAAAGGAGGTTTGAGTTGTGTTACACTAATAATTCACAGTTATAGTTTGTTGATACTAATACTTCACTCAGCATATACAAAGTATACAAAAATGACTAACCGAGTGAAGGAATCCAAGTCGACAAAAACCAAAACAGGCAATTAGTTGACTAATTGACTAAAAGCCAGATTTCCTGGAGGCAAGCGCCATATAAGCAGATTTTATTGGGGGAATATACAAATCTGCAACACCATGTTCAAAAGTTTAAGTTACCTCTAACAACCCATTATAAAACTATAAACCTTAAAAGTAATATCCATTTCAGTGAATTAAAAACTTCTGATGATTCATTCTCGCTCCTCTCTAGAAACAAGTCAAAACAAGAGAAAGCAGCAGTAAGACTTTTCTTATCTGTCAACAGGACAATCCATCACTTATGTTGCACTGACGATCTGCAGATGAGCAACAAAAAGAGTGATAAGATGGTTGCACCCTCACACTCACACTAATCTCCCTCCACACACTCCCCTCTCCTCGGACACGCTCTACCTGCTGGGAAGCTTTGATGCTGGGTTGGATTACAAGTGAAAGACGGTGAGAGGTAGCAGAAAGGTGCCTGATGAAATCGTGTTTTTTGTTGTATGCCCTCATTGTACTTCAACCATCCAAGCATATGTCCTGATATCACAAAGACTCAACTGTCAGCTGAACAATAGCTGCCTTTGTCTCAGCGGTAATGTCTAACATGGAGATACAAGATGATACTCTGTTTACTACTGGGACTCATGCTGCTCTGACTTGTGATAAAAAAAGACTGAAACAAGCTGATTGAACTCAAATGAATAAAACAACTATTTAATCTGTTAAATAACCACAAATCTGTAGAAAAAACATTCCCCTATACCCATCATCAATGCTGCTATTTAGAATATTCTGCAACCAACATTAAGTTATTTTATGGTATATTTATCTTACAGTCATTTTTCATTGTTAAATACTGCTAAATATCATGCTCTGTTGTAATGTTGATGTTAGCACTTTTAATACTGCCACTTGGTCACTTTAAGTTTTTACGATGCATGATTGTTCTGTGTTGTTTTTAAATTGAAGGGGTATGTAAATAAACAAATCGGGTTTCTAGGGGAAATTTGTGCCCAAATATCACCACAAAAAACAACCTTTTCATCCTTTAAAATAACATGTGCAGACTCAAGGCAATAACACATTAAGGTTGTTAACTGGGCTGAGGTGGATTCCTACCTTTAACTAAATAACAAGCAGAACAGTAGAAGTCAAAGTAAAAACTTCTGGGCGTTAGTTATGACAAATATGAAGTGTAAAGATAAAAATCCTACTCATGATGTTTTCCCATGGATGTTACAATGTTTACAGAGTGTTTATGAACAGTTTGCACTGTGACTCAGCCTTACTTGTACACATGCATGCACACCCACCTAGACATTTGTGTTTTTTCAGGAAGTATTATGGTCAACACTGACATCGCTGGTAATTGAGAGGTTATAATTGTATTGGCTCACTATTTTATATAGCATATTGTATAAAGCTGACGGAAAACAATACAAAATGTCCCATAAAATGACACGTCTTTTCCGTTTGCAGTCTACAGCGGTGGGGTGTGAAGCTAAATTAGGCTGGAAAATCGAATGGCAGAAAGATCTCTGCCATTAACAAGCACAGAACAAGCGACAAGCGTTTAAACAACTTGGCAGAATAAACTTTTTCCAAACTGTGAAACATACATATAAAATGTAATAAACCTTGAAACAACACAACTTGTAAAAAGAACAACATCTCATGACTTTAGTAGTTGTACTAAAAGATCTACCAGCTGAGAAGAAGTGGTTGTTTACTTTCACCACAACATCTGACAACACAGATTCAATCAGTGTGTTTAAGGTTAATAGGAACTTATATTTGACATGTTTAATTAATAAAAGAAGACATTTTCTCTTGTCTTCAACAGTATCCAAACGTGATTGCTTCATTAATGCTAGTAGTGTAAATGTGATGCCATTTACGCAACCAAACACCCCTTTCCCACATCTTTTTCCTCTCCCCCCTCCTACAGTTTGCCCGACTGCAGAAGGAAAGCAGTACCAGATGTGGGTTTTTTTTTCTTTCGGTCGTGCATAAAGACCTTGCTGTTTTGAGGGGGTGGCTGTGTTGCACTTCACAGACTTGCAAGTCTCTTTATAGAGATGGAGGAGGAAAGGGCGGAAGAATAAATATACGACCACCTCCCAACACCTTTTATGTATCCTAATGTGATGTGAGCAAATACTGTTCATCCCAAAACTGGCTTAACAGGGATGAAGCTATTGGCACTGAAATAAACCAGCATAAAGAGGCCGGGAATGCCTGTGCTTTTTTATTGCTTTTTTTCTTAGGTATGGGAACAGACTTTTATAAATGTTATAACTCTCAGGCATTTAAGAAGATGTTTCAGAGGATAACTGTGCCCTAAAATACTGTAGTAATGTGTGATTAAATATTATAAATGTAGAGAGTTTATTTGAAGTTGTTCAATAAATGAAATCCAAAGTCTGACTATTGATTCAGGAAAAAAAATCTCCCAAAACTCTATCTCATGTTCAGCAATCTTAAATCTAAGTACATTTCCCACAATGTTATCAATACAATCTGTAGCCCTTGGCTTTGTTTATCATGTGGCTAATATCATGTTGTTTCCATTCATCACTGTGTCAGCTCTAAGACTATCTGGTAATCAATTTATACCAGATTATTAGTGTAATAGAAAACCAAATTAAGTAGTATGTATGGGATCTGTTTTTGTGCAATACTCCAGTTTGGTTGTGCTTATATGTTATTCCAATAACATGAAGACTTTTTTTTAATCACAGAAAAGACGAAAACAAAAACAAAAAAAAGTCTCCTACCTTGGTTAGTTTAGTTTTGTGGATTTGCTGGAGCTCTCTCTGACAGGTCAGCACATTGGAAGCCAAACTCCCACCTGCATATAACAAATAATAATATGTAAACCCATTTTAAAAGAAGAAGTTATGTTGTTTATTAAGTTGCTGTGTTGGTTGACTTACCTTCAGGACTCTGTCTACGTTTTGAAGCTGTCCAAACAGGAGAAAAGAAAATATTAAAGGCTACAAGTCAAAACGCTTTAAAAAAGTCCAAAACAATTTGCGATGAAATAAAATGCCTCACCAAGTTTGGACTGGAATTTACCCATATTCCTGCGTTTTCATTGGATCAACAAAAAGTACAATCCATGAGGGGCAATATTGTTGTGTCATTTGGGAACAAACACCGGTACACTATCGCAGAAATTCATACACAGACGAGGTGAGCTTAAAAGTCGGACTGAAAAATCAAAGAGTAAAGAGGCAGAGCCAGAGGATTCACCGCTGAGCACTTCCTGTTTGGTTAAGCTCGGAGCTTGAAGCTTGAAGCACTCTGACGCCAAGGCAGTGGGAGAAACCGTTTTTTTTTTTTTAGACAAACGACTTCACTTTTATTATGCAAAATAAAAGAAGTAGGGGTAAAACTATATTTCTCTCTCTTCCTCTCTCATTTAAGGAAACGCAAAGTTTCAAAGTACTTTTTGACATGCTTGGGATGGACCCTCTTGCAATTGTAAAGCTACACCTCAGATGACAATAAACTGTTGCGTGGTATTTTATATATTTGGAGCCATATAGGAGCTAAACTGGGAACTGAATAAGCGTAAAAACTGTATATGGATTAAAGAACAATGGTGGGATTTTAAACAGTTGTTTTACCAAGTATGAAAAGGATGCTCACTTTTCAATGAGTCATAACGTAATTCGGGTCACTACTTGGATCGAAGACTGCCTGGGAAATCCCAGTGCTGTATGAGGTTTATTTTATTTAGTAGCAGGCAGGTGTAAAACGCATGAATTCTACATTGAAATCTGAATCAAAAGAATCTGTATGACTTATAACCCTATGAAAGTGAAATGGATGTCTTGGCCAAGTCCCAGGAACCATCATCATTTCCATGTTTGCAGGAAACAGACTCAACTGTAGAGCATCATCATAAAACCGAGCAGGAAAGATGATCCTATTGTTGCCAAAAACATTCCGTTTACAGCTCAGTTTACAAGAATAAATTAAATCAAAAAGGTATAACATTGTCAAAAACAAACACGTTTATTCTATCCAATGCATAAATACAATTTTCCTGAAAATAAACACAGACAAAAAGGATGGTGGAAAAGAGCTTTTTTTATAATTATATACAAAAGTAGTATGTAAGCAACGTTCTTGTTATCTCATAACACATGGTTTCCTTTGTATCAACTTACAAGTCGCCTTCAATCTGAAGTAATGGCTGTGGTTAACCATTGTTTATTTCCTTATATTACATAAATGTACAAACGTCTGTTTAAAGCAACAGACTGAGTCCATATCACAGTCGTGTTAACTGCTGCCACTGACGGACTCTTTGGCAGTGAGCGCTGCCGAGGGTCCTATGTGGGTCCAGACGTAGCCTTTTTCTGGTCTGTTGGGGATGGTGGGGAACGGGGAGCTCCGTGACTTAAAGTATTCAGAGGGGGCGTGACAAACAAAGTCCAGATACTCCATCTTTCTGGGTAGATCCTCCTCTGGACCTAATACAAAACAGACAGTTATTAGATTAGTTAGATAGTCACACATTATGCTCATTTTCAGGTTGATACTTGTTGTATTTTGGATTTCTACTATAAAGTGTGTATATGCTTTAATGTTAGGGAAGCAAAATCTGAAAGGCTTGTTGTATCCAATGTTTTCTGACTGAGGCAGCCAACATAATTGATGGGGTTGCCTTATTTCTCAGTTTGTGGGTTTGATAGGCACTCAACATGTGTGTGTGTGTGTGAAAAAATAGGTTTATGACATCTCTTCTTTAAGAAATAATCGCAAAGATTGTGAGGAAAATAATAGTCCATGAAGTCACGATCTGTTGCTGAATAAGGCCACACAATGGGGACTAAGCTTATGACCCCCTAAAAAAATATTTATATATTTGCAGTGTTACGAACTAGGAAACTTTAGCAACATTCCCGAATTTTTTTTAAATGTATTACCTTAAGTAACTGCTAATGCAAACACAACTTTACTTTAGGTAGTAGTCACAAAGTGTTTGTCTGTGATCTTGACCACTATTTATCCAAGATTATTCTAAAAAAACAAAACTAACAAGAAAAGGTGTCATTTTTTTTACCCCTTAAATTAGTCTAATAAATGGAAAATTGTACAATTTTAATTTCTCACCAACAATGTATGTCCCAGGTTCAAACTGGTCCTTGCGGCTGGCCTGTGTGGGGATTAACCAGGTCAGTGCAGCGCTCTTTTCACAGTACTGGTCTTGCACAAAGCCGCGAATCTGAGCATAGTACGGCTTCCCGTCTTCCTCATCCGTTACCTTGATCACATCTCCTGTCTGGTAGTAAACACCCTGTGGATACAAATATATGAAAATAGTAGGGCTGTCAATCGATTAAAATATTTAATCGCGATTAATCGCATGATTGTCCATAGTTAATCGCAAATTAATCGCACATTTTTTATCTGTTCTAAATGTACCTTAGAGGGATATTTTTCAAGTTTTTAATACTCTTATCAACATATGAGTGGACAAATATGCTTTATATGTTTGTTTATTATCATTTGAACAATGACAAATATTCTCATGAATATTAAACACAACAACCTCTGAACATTACAAATATTCGATTCAACCTGGAACCTCTCATACAATAATACAATACAAAGTGTGTGTGTGTGTGTGTGTGTGTGTGTGTGTGTGTGTGTGTGTGTGTGTGTGTGTGTGTGTGTGTGTGTGTGTGTGTGAGAATGTGGAGAGCTGCCTGGACGCTGCAATCATGTTGCGCGCACTATCCGTGCTGAGTGTGCTGACTTTTCGTACAATGTCCCACTGTCTGGCTACCTGCATAAAGTCAAGTGCTCGGCGCAGTTGTCGGCGAAATGTCATTGAAACAGCTCCTTATATCTGTTAGCGCAGCTAGCTAGCACCAGATGCTAACAACAACAACACGTAAGGTGTGCCTCGCTCGCGCGAGTCGCGCCACACATACACATACACATACACATATACACACACACACACACACACACCCTCCCGGTCCTCCCGATGGCCAGTCCGGGCCTGCCGGTGAGCGTGGAAGTGTGGTCTGCCACAAGCGGGCGGCAGGTGCGGGGCTGTAAGCATCAGCTTGTAGATGGTATTTTAAACTCGATGCGCTCTGAAACTACGGGGCGGCCGAGGACAAAAAATACACATGCGTTAATCGCGTTAAAATAATTAGTGGCGTTAATTTTTTTTTGCGTTAACGCGTTATTAACGCGTTAACTTGACAGCCCTAGAAAATAGATATTAACAATGAGAATGACCCAGTTTGGTCTCATATGTGTCACAGGCTAAAGGTTTAGTTCTACTATTACTATGATCTTTTTTGATATTAAGCAGAAACCACTGTACCTTATAAAATACTGATTCTGACGTGATGATTGTAGCAACTGATTCTGGTGCTTTGATTGGCTGAGGAAAAGGAACACACCGGGTCAAATACAGAAATTCTAAGGAAAGCACAACATCTACAGAAATAACTGCATTCGCTGATGAAATCTTACTCTTACTTACATTTTTGAGTTTGAATATGTGTCTTCTTCCCTTTCCTTTAGTTGACACCTTCTTCTCAGAGGCAGGAGCTTTGTACTTGGTGCTTCTCAGCCGTGCCGACCTCCTGTGGATCTCCTGCTTGGACTAAAAGCAACACAAAAGATTAAGCTAGCAGCCTCCATTCACTGTTTATCTAACAAATTGCTAATGATTATTGAGTAATTGATTGGTAACTGTGTCTAATAAATATTAATTAAAACAAATGTAAACATCCAATTTAAAGATTATATAAAACAAAGAGGGGCAGAACCTTTTGACTTTCCCAAAAATGAAACAAGCTTATGTTAAGTGTTTTCCCTATACATCACAGTCTGTCATGCTGCTGTTCCCGTGCCTGTTATGTTTTTCCTTTTAACATTTTTTATTTAGTCTTCTGGCATGGGGACATTCAGTTTTTTGCCTAATACATTTTAGGGTAAAAAAAACAAACAAGACTAAATATAAAAATAATGTCAAGTATTCGGTCTCTCACAACAAGTTGAGTAAGTATAAAATAGATAAAGAAATCCTATGGAAGACATCTAAATAACACAAATACATCCTGACTGTACTTACTGTAAACGTTATGTCTTTTAAGTTAATTGAAAATGTCAACAAAAAAAACGTTGTCCCTAACAGATTTAAAATGTTGTGGCAGGGTTTGGTTCTCCCTGAAAATACCTACAACATACAGGCTGAAAACAAGATAAACATTGAAAGTGAAAGGCCCCTTTACAGACAGTAACTAACCTGCTTTCCCCCGCCATTGCTGGGCAGAGTGTTGGAGGACATGGAGGGTCCGGTGGCCCCGCCGCTGCTGCTCTTTCCTGTGCAGTTGTTACAGAGGATCTCCCCCTGGTTTCCTTTCTTCCACATGGACGAAGAGTTTGTCTTGCAGACAGCACAACACGGTTTCAAACCCAGTGGCATCGTTAATGGTCAGGATACGTAGAGGATAAGGCAGAAATGTTTCCTCAACAATGAGATGATGGCTGCTCGCTGCACCAACAACACAGGGATGTGCAGCTTCAAATGGCTCCAAAAGAGATGACGATGTTCGCTTTCTTTTACAGATAGACCTCCGAGGACAAGCTTTACTACTTGATTTAAAGGTATTGTCACGACAGTATCAATTTCAAGCTGTATTGTTTATTTTTGCAGCCAAAATACCGCCATTGCTAGCGCCACTGTTTCTTCTTCTATTTTTTTTGACATCGACTCTTCTTCTGTGGTTTGAGAGGCTCTACTCCAGCGCCAGCACTGGACCGGAGGGAACTGTGCATGTGTTGGAAAAATATAAATTATATCATGTTAAGAACAAACTGTATAACCTATTAAAAAAACAAAGATGAAAAATAAAATGTAAACGGTCAAAGTTTATCTTCTAAATAACTCAAAGGCATTAAAACATGTTAGATTTTTACTGTTATGTTTTGATGTACTTCAAATGTGTGCACTACAGCGCTAGTTCTTATGTTTGGGAATATTCTAGTTATTCTACGGGATGTATTATTTTCAAGGTGTATCATATGCTTTTAACTGTAAAACCTTGGTCTGAAAAGTAACTAAAGCTGTCAGACATATGCAAAGCAGTAAAAACACATTATTTCCCCTGACAATTTTTTTTTAACTTTATATCTTAATTTAATTTGTTTCTTTTGTTTTTGTATAATGTGTGTTATAACTGTTATTTTATTATTGTATTTTTCTTTTTTTTGTGAGATGGGAATGTCATCTCCCTTACATTGTTGTTGTATCCTTTATTTGTGTCTCCTGCCTGCACTAAATACATGATAAATAATTAAATATATACAACCAACCATCTCAAAATTGTGTTCATATACAGTGATTAAGTACATGTGCTTAGTTACTTTTTACCACTGATTGTAATGAATGAATGCAATTATTCAACGCACAAACACAAACTATTTTGAACCAAAAATATGTTTTTCCTCTCAAGTGACCCCTCTACGTGTCGGCCACCGTACTTAAGCAGCAGGTGGCAGTACTCCAGTAAAACTGCCGCCAACAGCAAAGTAAAACTGAAGAAGAAGAAACTCGTCACGGTTCAAAACAAAAAGTTCCGCCTGTCGGTCTGGCGCCGTGTTTTCATGAAGATGTCTCAAAAAACTCCCGACAAAGACGATGACCAAACGTCAACCAACAAAAAATCCCTCTCTCTCCCGACCTCCAGGGTGAGGCTGATAATGAAGAGCTCCCCGGATGTCTCCTGCATCAACCACGACGCGCTGTTTCTCACCACCAAGGCTACAGTAAGCCGCAGTTAGAGGCTACATCCTCGCTTCACTGAGCACTGCTAACCTACCATTCATTTGCTGCTAACAGGCATTAGCCCGCTACTGCTAGCTCCCCTGATAACTGTAAACAGTGGTGTCAAGTGACGAAGTACATTTACTAAAATACTGTACTTGATACCTTTACTTTGCAGATTTGGATTAATGGACTTCAATTACACCTGGTAACATTCACCAGCTACCCTACAAAGTGATTAAAACTAGCTGCATAATGTGTACTTTTACTTTGGTACTTCAAGTATATGTTGATGCTTATACTTTTGTACTTTTATTTGAGTAACATTTGACTCTACCAGGGTGAGTATTGCTACACCCTGGTAGTTTTACTCTTTGTACTACTTTACTACAAGATCTGAGTACTTCTTCCACCTCTGACTGTAACCTGCAGTTTCCATTCGTGCTCCACTTATTGTGACTTGTGTGTTTTTGCAGGAGCTGTTTGTGCAGCACCTGGCTGTGTCTTCATATACCAACAGAGCAGAGAAAGAGACCAAATCTCTGTCATACAGCGACCTGGCTAACTCCGCAGAGGAGAACGACACTTTCCAGTTTCTCACAGGTGAGACAAAGTCACAGCCTGACATGCAGGGACTTTCTATATCATGTAATGTTGGACACTACTGACCCTTTACCTCTGAAACATTGGTGGAATAACCTGTAACCTCCCAGAACGTATGCAACAGTTTATTAGGTATATGTCGCTAACATAATGTGATTACATCGTTATTATTATTTGACATAAGAGACAAACAATCGGCTATAGAGCAGGGAATACAAATATGTTTGACAACTGGTCAGGGGTAACAATAACATAACAGACCCACAAATACCACACATATAAAGTCACTATACATGACTATAATGAGCCTATTGCCTAGATTGATCAGTAATGGAATTTGTGGCAAGCCTTATTGTTTTTCTGCAGCAGTTTTTATAGCTGTTTTTTGTAACGCCACATTATATTTATGACAATAATTTATCAGCAATTAGATGCTGAAAACACAGTTTGGCTCCATGCATTGTAACGGTCAGCAGAGTACAGTGGATACATGGTGACTGGCTGTGACACCAAGTTTGACATAAGTGTAATATTTTTCTTTTATAGATATCCTACCAAAGAAGATCTTGGCTGGAGATTACCTCAAATCTTTGGAGCAATTGCAAGAAGATGATGACGACGCTGACTTTTAAAAGGAACACTGGCTGCATTTCACGTCTGGACAAATGTTATCAAATGTGCACATCCTGTCATTTATTGAGGGCACTGCAATGCTTTTAAAATACATTGACAGAGTTAAGCTGTAGGGCTCAAGAAAGACGTTAGAGCACATGGGACTGAAAGTACAGCCACTAAGGGCAAATGTGAAATCAAGTGAAGACTCAAGAGTTCACGTTCATATACTAGAACACAGAGGAACACTGGAGCTTTACTGTCTAAGATAAATACTTGATGCCATAAATCTAGAATTTAACAATGGCCAAAACAAAGCATACTTAGATAAAGCATAATGCAATCAGTACTCAAGATTTTGAACATTTTAGTATTTCAGAACAATTTTCTTGAAGGTTTTCTGGTAGCAATGTCTTACACATTTAGTGCTTGTTTTGCATGTATAACATTTAGGAGGAGGGAAGTGATATACAAGGTAACAACTTGCAGGCCTGTATGGGCTCACTCCATGCAACAGACCAACACATATTGGAAATCCATTCCACACAGCTGGTGCACAGATGTCTCCGTTATCACCGCATTTAATATATGACCGAGTGACTTTTAAGATGCTATCAAACATTGATTTCAAACAAGTGAAATATGCTGATGTTCCTGATTCAAAGTTATACATAATAGTTTTTTTTTAAAGATATTGTCCATGTATTAGTAACGGGTAGTTTATCATAAATACTTGAAAGTTAAAAATACACATGCCGCTTTTTTCTCCCAGCTGCAAAGCAAGGTAACATGTTGCGTTTCTTCACACTCTGCATAAAAAATATGTGAATATTTAAAGTGTATATAGCACATTCTCCTCATTCATTTGCTAATGAATTGTTTAGATTTGATATTAAAATAAAGATTCAGGCCATCTGATAATTTATGTCGCATTGCATGTATTTACACCACAACCTTGTAGGGTATGAAAATGCTTTTATTAATGTTGAATGAGGATTTAAACAAGTCTGTAACAAGGTGCTCAAGAGACTAACCGTTTTACTAGACGCTGTTAGCAAGACCATGAAATCTCCGTGGAACACGTCTGCAAACTGGAATACAACAAACTATTTAACAGCTACATGTTCCTCATATCTGATGGTGTGAGGTTTAGTCTCCTTTATACCGATTTGACCTTTAAGTGTATTAATGACATAAGGTGCATATTTGGTCCACATACAGTCTAAAATTATCCTGGGGATGCATGCATTTGCTACATTGTTAAACAATACATGAACACATAAATAGAGGCAACCAATCCATGTCAGTGTTGGATGAGCTTGTTCAGTCGAAACTGCATGTTAAGCAGAGTGTTCTCTAAAGTAGAAAAGTGATTCTCCAGGATGTTTGCTGTGTGCTCTCTTCCATGTATGGCGTCCCTTGTGTTGGCAAGATGCTCCTTCATGCTGCAAGAGATGACAAACCACAAGTAAATGTCTAGGACATTTTGACACATTCACACCGTTTTGCATTCATTTTATCCCACCAATATTCAGAGCTCGCCAAGTAATCAGTTTGTTCTCTCTCAGAGAGAAGGCACTGAATTCTTCACAGCCGTTTTAGTGCCAGAGTGTTGTCTCAGCCAGATGTCCCAACAGATGACTGTAGGAAAACACTAGAAACGTCTCAGCTGCTTGTCTGGATGCTGTTTCCACTTTCTTTGGCATGCAAGCACTTATTTATGCTAAACAACTAACAAGGATCCAGGGTTCCTGACTGCCTCGCTAACAATGATTTAGGAATAATCCCGCAGCTGGCATTGCATGAGTATCTTCCAAAAATGTTATGAATTTGTCCCTGCACAGTGGAGATTGTAGCTCTGTTTGGATGGACATATGGTTCTAATGTTTGTATTTTATATAAATATGCAATAGCAGAACGCCAGACCACCCACAGTACTATACAATAAGAAATCATGGGGTATTTAGTCAGATAATCCCCATCTCTTCAACCTCCTCACCCAAATACTTTCAGGGGTTTTCCAAAGTCTGAGACTGCAGGCCACCCTCAGACAAGGCTTGGAAAAAGACACCCCCAATAATTGAGACAAGATACCTTTATATTGCTGTTTGACAACTTCAGCCTGCAACAAATACATGAAAAGGGTCTCTAGGTTTAGGTCTCAGGCATTTATTCGTTTCTGATTCTGAGAAAACAGCACCAAAAACAACTAACATGAAACACAAATAACTCTCTTCAAACTAATCACATACATTTCGGCTTATATGTGATCTTCGCTAATATAATCTTTTTTTCAATTAGCCTAACATTAATTAAATTAGATATTAACATATCTACCATATTAATCCATCAAATGAATGTCTGTTTCTCACCTTGTAAGGACCCCCTGCTCCTTCCCCTCCTTCCTGGTCTCCTGCAGAGAGACAAACACCTTATCCATGGTCTGCATGGTTTCTACAGCACTCAGGTGGTCCGAGTTGATCCCCTGGACCTCCTCTCTGGCTTGGTGTTCGTAGGAGATCCCTCCCTCCTCCATCCCGCTGGTGGTGGCCACAGCCTGCAGAGCGGCCCTGTTCTGCAGAACAAGCAGACGTGACTTGGCAAACTCCTTTGGCCCGACGATGTTCTCCCAGCAGATTGCAGAGGATGGTGGTAATAAGAAGCGCTGGCTGCAGTTCACTGGTTTTCCTGGGGTCTCTGTTATGAAGGGGCTATCAGCAGGGAAGCTGTGGAGTAGGTGCAGAAGAGATGATCCAGAGCCCCACTCCAAATCATCAAGATCTGGTTCCCCAGAGGACTCGTCAGGGAGACAGTTGGAAGAGGCCCAGCTGCCCCTGCACCCTCTGCTGGGAAACAGACCCCCAGCAGGAGGGAGCAGGACAAGCAAAGCACAGCCCCCTGCAGCATCTCCAGACTGACTGAAACACACACACACACACACACACACACACACACACACACACACACACACACACACACACACACACACACACACACACACACACACACACACACACACACACACACACACACACACACACACACACACACACACACACACACACAACTGTATTGAATGGAAAGGCCATCATGACAGAAGCTTATACAATATAACTTTATTCCTCTCTGGTGGAAGCTATTGTGCATTTAACTGCCTTTCCATTATTTTTTTCAATGATCCAAAATGTAATATGATCTGAATCTAACAAATGAAAGTAAATGCACAATCCTATTAAATTTCAAGACAGACATGTTAGCGTGTTATTACAACATCTGATAAGATTAAAAGTGAGACTTCTCCCTGGTATGAAACTGTGTCCAATGCATGCACAATGCGATTCAACCTTCAAAATAAAAGGTGTTACGTTTCAATTAAAGAAAATAAGGTTCATTGGAGCTACCACCACACATTCATCCACCAACAAGATAGATGTTCGGTACAGTTTTTGTATCAACCTCCAAAAGGCTGCAGCATAAATAAAGGCTTTTTTTAAGTTTGAAAATTATATCCGGAAATCTTACTCTCATTTTGGTAGCTTCATGCATCACCATCAGTACAAAAGTTAAGAAGGCAAAGAAAAAAGATTAAAAGATAATCCACAAATCTTGTTGACTGCAGCCAGCACCTTTTACTCATACACACACATCAACATCTCTACATCGATTCAACTCAGTGTGTGTAACATGTCTTACCTTGCAAAGAAACCCCAGCGAAGAAACAGTCTGTGGAGGGCTGCGACTCTCCCTCGGTGACTGAAGTCGTAGGAAAAAATGAGTCGTTGACTGCAGCCTATTACATGCGATGTGAATCGCAATTTATTGGCCCGGTTAAGGCAGACACAAGAGTATTTTCCGTCAGAGTCTGTGGGGTAATTGATGGAAACTTACCCAAAACACGTCAAATACACTTGCAGTCTGCAGAGAATGTGTTGTGGCACACAAGTGCAAACAGCTGGACCTGGCTCAAGGATTTTATGTCTACTTGATAAAATGAAATCAAGTTTCTATGCAGGATGTTGAATTATTTGTCGGTGAAAGGGTTCATTTCCAGCCTTTTGTTCCCCTCAAAACTTCCAGGTCTGTGAGTCTATGAAGGCAGTAGGAGGTGAGATGATCCTGGAATTTATGAGCCATTTTACAATGTCCTAAACAGGACCAGCCAGCCCAAAACTTAAAATGCTCTAAACATAAACACCATGGTTGTGGATTTAAACAGTTTGTTACCAGTTCAGTCATTCCCATAAACATCTTGTTATCCTGCTGTTTGAGACACAGTGGTTTTGAAAAGTATCCACACTTGTTTTGTCCCAAAGATTAATTCAATACATCTGTATTTATTTAGAGATCCTTTTGAATGGCCAGGGAACGGATTTATGTAGCCTGAGGCTTACAACCTCCCTGACATAAGCAACAAGGAATGGGAGACGTATTTTGGCACAAACTCTCGAGGGTGGTGTAATGTTAGGGGAGGAATAGGGCGCACACTACATACATCTGAAAAGATGTTCTTGCTTTCATGGACAGACTGTAAAACATGAGCTTTTTTTTCTCTTAATAAGGAGGGGAAAGTTGAAATGCAGTATTAGATAATTTGAGAGGAGTTCAGATACTGGGGCTCTGTTGCAGCCACATGTTGTTTTCAGATCCTGGTAATGACTTTCAAACCATCTGGAAAACAGAGAGAGAAGTTAATGTTAATATGTTCATTCAGATGAAGAAAATCCCTGTTTGTGGCTCAATGGTGAGGTGTAGAGCAAGACAATTAGTCACAATGGCAGTTACTCATTCCATTTAAAATGAAATAAAGTGTTCTAAACAATTACACTGCTCAACCAATCAGGATATCAACTGCAACACATCAATCATACTAAACAATGAAAACAGGCTCCACCATGACATCAGGCACAATGTAATGGTATTAACAAACACATCACATAAAAGCCGTACATGTAGCCTACACTGATCTCATAAAAAGGCAAAATGTGAATTTGTAATTGCTTTGGCAATATGCCATTGAAAATTCATTAATCGTCTTGTAAAGTCAGTTCTATTTATTTTCACAACTCAAATATTTTCCATGGAGGGCTTTACAGGCTGTAAAACACATACTACTATTTTAAGACTCCTTGAGTTAAAGAAAAAACATAATTTTTTTAATTTAGAATGAGGGAACCTCTTTATGTATGGAAAGACATGCAAAAGATGTTGTAGATAAGTGAATGCAAGAATCAGCTATCATAAAGGAGCTTTCCTAACTGGTGAAAGAGCGTCAATAGGCTCGAGAAGTGTCTTTTATGAACTTGATCCATATTTTTTCCAGTTAAGAAATTGGAATCAAAATGCCTCCAGGCCTCGTTGTCATATTAATCCCTGCCTATACATTTGCTGTGTCTTTGAGCAAACACAATGTTTCTTGAGCTACAAGTAACGTAGCCCTTTAGCCAGAGAGTCATGATCTAATTGGAAATCCAGTTTTCTACAGTAGGCTACACAGCTGAAGTGAGATAAACTAGTTACATTTCTAATAACTCTATCAAACTGGTAAGTGAACACGGCTTCGTGTTGAGGAATCACCAGTCATAAAGTTTGGCCTAAATAATACATTATGGTCTAAACACGGATGGACAGAACAGAAGTAATCTTACAGTGACATCTAGTGGCCAACACCGAGAATTGCTTCTTTATTGATTAATACAGCTGTGTCCTTCCATCATTTAAATGAAATTGATCTGTTGAAATTCAAGCAGGACCTTTTATATGGTTATTAGTGAAAACATTGACTACAATCTAAATAATTATGTGCACATGTACAGCCAATAATATCGTTACATTTGATAACATTCGTGGACATAATGTTCTCACAAAATTCCATCACAGTGCATGATGGGTTTAGTAGTTAGATCCATGTTCAGGGTTTAGGAGCTCTGCCCATGCCCCGGGTCATGTCAGTGAGGGGCGGGGACCACCGAGAGGCTCCTCCCTCCTCCAGGCTGCCGTCACCGGGCTGCTGGACCGGAGCGACTCGGCAGCAACAACCCGCCGCTGGCTGCTCACCGACTTGAGTGCAGACCCGGTGCAGCCTTCCGCCGTCTCTCACCGTTATTTCTTTCGGTTAACATCATGGCCTCCGACGGCATGGACGAGCGATCTCCGCTGCTGTCGGGTCCCAACTCCGAGAACGCGACCCCCATTGCTCCCCCGTACCTGCAGGATTCAAGTCCCCGAGGTAAACACACGACATGTACACAGCGTGAATGCTGAATCATATTTGGGCGTATCGAGTTTGCGTAAATAAAAACTGCAGCAGTGCAATGCAAGGCAAGGGCACTCCATCGACAGCTGAGAAAAAGGTGGAGCTAGCACTGTGAGAACTGGAGCAGTGGGTTAGGGAAGAGGGGCCTACAATAACAGCAAGCTATGTTTTTACTGCAGAAATACTCACATCACGATTCACTGGGGCCTGTAACGTTTTGGGTCTTAACCGACAAAATCTGAGTCATGATGTGGCTCTGTGAGTTCTGAGTGGATGTGGGCTTTATGTTGTTGATGGACGGGGGGAGGAATGACCCACTGCAGAATGCAGCCTAGCAGCCTTTTGTCCCAGCTGCAAATCAACAAAAAGCCCAGATGTGTCATTCTTGGAGGCACAACACCCACTGCACGGCATGATTTAAATGTCATTTTGTTAAATCTAGCTGTCAGTTTGCTCATTTGCATGGAGACTGGATTGTAAACAGATAATATTTGCCTTGATCTGAGAAAGACTGTTTGATTCTAGCATTGCATCTTGACTACAGTACAAACCATGTGCATGTTCAACCAGGACACCGACAAAGTGTCCACTTTTTGCTTAGTAAACAGCTGAATGTAGGTTACAGCACCATAATGCATGTAGGGCTGAAAGAGAGTAACAGCTCATCAATCTTCAGTCCACTTAGTCGAGAAAAGCCTTGGTCAGGACTGGGCTCTCAACTGATTTTAGTCTGATTCTGAATTGAAGGGTTAGGGTTGAAACATAAGACATACATGATGACATGCTATTTATTTTTGCTGAAGGATTTTCTTGATAAAAGTTCCCTAATTCTTATAAATACATCCATATTCGACTCTCATATCAAAGGATTATGTTTTGTTTTACGTAAATTCACCTCCAGACACTGTGAACAAACAACATTTCTTTGCTTTGGCACAACACATGGTTTTTCTTGCTGCAAATGAATGGATTCATTGAACTTGTAATACTCTTTGCTGGACATTTCAAGACTATCCGCTTATATCAAGCAAACACAATGATGTTGAAAAATAAACATCCTAATCTTGCAGATTCATATTTCACCACCGGATTATTCATAAAGACTTTAATGCTGGACTGTAACCGGTGAACTCAGCGCCTGTTTGAATGTTACAGCACTGACTGAGCGAAAGGCTAAATGAATGTCAGTATATTACATGGCCTAGTTTCTGCTCATTTCCTCTTTACAGTCTGGATTATGGCTAATTCTGCTTTCACTGGGTCTGCTGGAGTACATTCCTCTATCAGACTATTTGTAAACTGGATTAATTAGAGTCAAAGAAGCCAAAACTGAGCTTGTCACTGAAACAATGACTCAGATGTTGACTAATAAGCTTATAAGATGCGAAGAAACACAGTGCATTTAAGATGTGATGAGGAGTTAGTAAAATGTGATATTTATGAAAGTGACTGCAATCTCTGCTGTATTGATTTCCTGAATTTCTTCACATTCTTACACTGAAGAATTATAAGGCCTTTACCTGATGAACAGTTGTCCACCATCAGTGGTTAGTAGCTGTATCAGAGATCCACTGTTTGCTGTGCTCACAGTGTGGTGGTGGTGGTGGAGGTGAGAGGCGGCCGGAGACCAACGACCTTGGCTGCGTCTGAATGGTTTGATCGACATTGAGCTTGATTTGTTGCCTCCTGCTTGACGTTTTTTTGGTGGAATGGCAGATTAAATGTAGTGCAACAAAAGGCAGTAGCATTGACAGTATTAAGTGGATCCTTCATCTTAACTTTCACTCGAAGGCAATGCTTTTCTGACATAGACAAAATATGTTAAAATACAAACTTGATCCAATGTTTTAAACCAGAGATGGTAGCAAAGTTATTCTAAGGTGGAGTCAACAATCAGCAACATTTCTCTACAGTTTGTGAAGTGCTGGGGATCCAGTGTAACTGTGAAGAATGAGTCTGGTGATCTTTTAGATTTTTATTGTCAACAAATCCTGTGAATGGACCAAAACCAACAATTCATTGATTTCAAAGAGTTTTGTTTGTTTAGCTAGAACCGTATATGTCCAGTCAGGGGTTTGCTATATATTATAATGCATGAAAAAAACCAGTATAAAGGTTAACATAATACAAATTTGTCTTATTATGAATACAATTAAGTTTTATGGCGTCATCTACATCATGATAACACATATATGTATTGTATACTGTATATATTATATGTATTATTCCGCAACTAGTTCCAAACAAATACACATTTATTCCTGTTTGAGAACCATTTGCTAGAAACTACAGGGCTGTTAAAGGAATCTCAGTGATATAAGTCTTTAGTAGGAACTGATGGGCTGAGTGAGACATAAAGTGCTGTGAAGGACACATTCCTTATTTGTTTTAAACTTTATGGGATTTGTTTAAAACAATATAGAGCCTTATCCGTTGACCTTAAAGAGATTTTTTTCATGCCACATGAACAAAAGCAAGAAATCGTATCTGATTTATTGCCGACTTTTAGCATACATCTGGTTAAGGCAGAATTTCCTTTGGTGATAATATCCATACTTAATGTACAATCTTCCTGAAATAAAATGAGCACTGCAATCTTATTAGTGGAACTTTTGTGTATTAATCATTCAATCAATCAATCAATCAATCAATCAATCAATCAATGTTTATTTATATAGCCCAATATCACAAATATTACATTTGTCTCAGTGGACTTCACAGTTTGTACAGAATATCAGTATGACAATACGACACCCTCTGTCCTTAGACCCTCACATCGTACAAGGAAAAACGTCCAAAAAAGGAAAAACCCCACAGTTTAAAGGGGAAAATGG